CCTGCCTTTATTAAAATCTGTTTGATTTTTTTTTTTTTTTTTGGTAATAGACCACTTTATGCTGCTGTAACAGAATACCTGAGACTGGCTAATTTATATAGAGATTTATTCCCTATAGTTCTTCAGACTTGGAAGTGCAAGATTGAGGGCTATATCTGGTGAGAGCCTTCTTGCTGCATCACAACATTATAGAAGACATGGGGAGTGACTGATGTTCAGATTATCTCATCTCAACTAAAATTTGTTTTTTTAAAAAAATTAGGGATTGAACTCAGTTATGTATTACCTCTGACCCACACCCCCAGCCTTTTTGTAAAAATTATTTAGAGACAGGGTCTTGTTAAGTTGCTTAGGGCCTTGCTAAATTGCTGAGGCTGGCTTTGACCTTGTGATCCTTCTGAGTCAGCTTTCCCTAGTCGCTGGAATTACATGCATGTGCCACCACACCTGACTTCAATTACAATGTTTTAAAGATGTGCACTTAATTCCCTGTAAAAACACAAGGTGAAGTGTTTCTCATATGAGTTTCTTATTCAACAAAAAAGAAAGAGTAGTTTTGTATATGGAGTTCTTAGCCTGCCGATAAGCCACACTGTGCTCATAGTTTAAATGATGTGTGCTATTTAAATGCTTAATATGTGAGGGTTCACCTAGTCATTGTACTAGATCTGTGAGTACAGAAAGGAAAATAGCTAGCCATACCCAATGGAAGTCAGAATAATTAAACATATGAAAACAGCAGCATATTTCCATTTCTCCCCTCTTAGCCTATCATCTATTGTTGGCATACATTTCATTCCTATATGATATATACTCCACTATACATTGTTATTATTATACTTTTTGTGGTGTTGGAATTAAACATGCCTAGTATATGCCAGGAAAACACTCTACCACTGATCTACATCTTAACCCACATTGTTATTGTTTTTACTTCAAACAATCATCTGTAAAAAAATTATATTTTAAGGAAGTAATTTTAAATTTACTCATGAAGTTGCAATGCATAACTTTCCTCATTCCTTTGTTTAGATCCCAATTTCTATCTGATATCATTTCTATCTAGAAGATTCCCTGTAATATGTCAGTGATTAAGATTTTGCCTTTCCTAAAAAACCATTATTTCATCAATATATTTCCATGATGTACAGAATTTTAAATTGAGTTATATTTTTGTTTCAGTATTTTGCAAGTATTTCTCCTCTCTTCTCCTGCATTCATTGTTTTTGACAAGAAATCTACTCTTTGCTCCTCTGTAGATAAAGTGTCTCTTTCTCTAAACAATTTTTAGAGTTTTCTGTTTTTCTGGTTTCAACTAATTTGATTTTGATGAATCTGGGGTTATTTGTTTTTTTCCCCCATTTTTCTTGTTCTTGTTCTCGGAATTCTTTTAGCTTTTTGAATCTTGGAGTTCATAGTTTTCATCAGATTTGGAGATTTTTCTTTCTTTGTTTCTTCAAATATCTTTTTCTATACCTCTTTCTCCTCTGTCAATGTCTCCAAATGTATGTTAATTAGGCCACTTGAACTTGCCTTACAGCTCAGTAATGTTCTAATCATTGTTTTTTAATGTTTTCACCTGTGTGTTTTATTCTGTTACACGTTATTGCTATATCTCTGTGTTCATTAATTCTTTCTTTTTACAAATCCAATCTGCTGTTAATCCAAGTCAGTGTATTTTTTATCCTACTCAGACATCGTAGCTTCAATGTTGCAAAATTTGTTTATAGTCTTTTTATAGTTTCCATGCCCCTATTTAACATGTTTAACCTTTTCTCTTACTTATTTAAGATATGGAACACAATATATTGTTTTGATATCCTTTTGATATGTGTACTAACTCTATTGCCTCTCTCATTACTAA